CTACAACAAAAAATGGTATCGCAAGCCTAGTAACAAAAACATCTTGGTACATTACTTTCTTCTCATCCCTCACATATAAAAAAGCACTTATCCGAAATATGTATCAGACAGCTATAGGAGTTTGTACGGGAAACGATGAAAGAAGAGAATCACTAGACTTAGCGCGAAAAATAGCCATTTCTAATGGGTACAAAGAAAGAACAACAACTAGCGTTTGGCCCAAAAGGAGCGAAAAGCCTCGCAATGGGAACGACAGGGCGCCACACCTAAACAATGAGGTACCTCTTATACTACCTTTCATAACAGGCGAAGTCAGTACCGCTATTAGAAGTGTCTAGAAAAGAGTGGTCTAGAAGATTCTGTAGGAATTGTAGAAATTCCTCTTAAAACATTGCGTCGTCAATTAGTTTGAAACCGCTTGTATAACCGTCTATGTAATACAAAGGACTGCGTTATTTGTCCCAACGGTAGAGACGTCGATTGCATGAGCGTAGGTACAATATACCTTATCTCTCGTGATACATGTGGTGGCGAAATATTGGCGAAACAGGCAGACCACTTCACATCCGCATTAAAGGACACCTAGACGGAAAAACAAATAAAGACCCTAATGTACCTCTAGGTACACACAAGATACAAAGACACGACGATGACGACTTTGAGATAGAAGTCAAAATCCTAGGGCACCAATCAAAAATCCTAGGGCACCAATAAAAAACAGCTTTCTGAATAAATTCCAGAAGCCCTCAAATGAACAAAAAGGGAGAGTACCTTAACATTACCGACCACATGGCACCTTATCTCAGATTGATTTTCTAGCATGGATATCAACTGACATCTATCCATAACTTGACCTAATGACATGGGGGCGGGTTCATACGTCACTCTGGCGCTAACGTCATAGGTGACTGGATTAGACTGTACGGTGAGTGGCTTTCCCTGAATCAATTTTCGCTTATCAACACCTTAGACTTTCAATTTATCTTCATTTTTTTCTCTCACAGTATATGGTCATATAATAAAGCTGCAACGATAATACGTTCAGGCTCTAAAGAAGGCGCGTTTGCCGAAACGTCAGCCACAAGCAAACGCGAAAACCTATCGACCGGAAAGGAGAACAATCGAATGGGAAAAATACCAACCTCGTGAAGCTTTGCATAAGGATTACTTTTCTAAGTTTTTCTTCTCTTTTTCAAAAATCAGCTTCCCTTTGAATCCTAAAGAAGTGAAAAGCTTACTCTTTTGAAACTAACATAAGTTAACGGTAGAGTATTAAAGTTAACATTACTAAAGGACTTGCATTACAACGACTATGTAATCTCTCATTTTCCAGCGACCTGCTTCCTAAGAACTTCTCTTTCACTACTGTATTTCTTTTTTTCTGTCAACAAGGACATGCGTCGGTGGATTGTGTTAACACAAGGAAATGAACAAAACATGACCAGCAAATTACGATCGATAACATCTCTTAAATGAACACTATAAAATGGAAACTCATTAAGCAAGCTTAAGTACTAGTTCACCTGTTTCACCTGTCGTCCCGTTGATCGTCGAGTGACTCAAGCGGATACCAGCAACACTTTCATTTTTCCCTACCGCGTGCAAGAGTAGCCCAGTGGGTTCTCCTAGCTCTATGGATTCACTGAGCATCATATTTTTCTTCTATACCTTTCGTAAGGAGATCGGACCACTGGGGTCGGTGGTCTTCCTATAAAGTGCTTAATATCCGAGTAATCCAGTCAGTAACGGCTCTCGTCCATCGGTTGTCATTGAAGCGCATCACGTGTCCGGCCCACCTTATTTTTGATATCCTGGCCGTGTAGAACGGCGTCTCTGATCTTCGATCGTTGATGTAGGTCGGAACTTCGGACCCTTTCTCTCATTTGCGAAATCAGGGGTACTCCTGCATCAACCTTTCGACTGCGCGTTCAACGACGTCAAGTGATCTTTCATCTGGCTTACGTAGCGACCACGTTCCTGCTGCGTACGTTAGGGCAGGGCTAATCGTCGAGTCGATAAGCTGGGCACGGAGTCAGATGTTCTTTGTCCTCTTCACTACATCTTCTATGCTTTCAAGCGTTCCCCAAGCCGCTCGTTTCTTCCTGTTCAACTCTGGGGCTAGGTCGTTCATCATGTTGATTTCACGATCTAGATAGACGCAACTGGAGAATTTGGAGATTTCCGCTCCGTTGAGCGTCAATGAGGTATTCAAAACCCGTCCGTTCCTCATAAACATCGTTTTCGTTAGATTTAGTTGAAGACCAATCTTTCCACAGGCGTTATCGAATTCGGTCAACATTCGTCTCGCTTGGCTGATGTTTGGTATTATGAGGACGATATCATCAGCAAAGCGAAAATGAATTATTTGCCGACCTTCAATTTTCACTCCCATGTCGCCCCATTCTAATGTTTGCACGACGTTTTGTAGGGTGGCAGTGAATAGTTTTGGCAAAATGGTATCTCTTGTCGAACCCCTCTTCTTACGTCGATAGTGATATTCTTGCAGAATGGAGACATTTTGGTTGTGAAATCTTTATACAGCTCACGAAGGATTATTGTGTACCGAATAGGGGCGCCCTGGTTATCCAGAGCCTCTACAACCGCTTCTGTTTCCACTGAATTAAAGGCTTTCTTCAGATCGATGAACGTGAGACAGAGTGGTTTTTTGTACTCTCGTGAAACTTCAGTGAGTCTTGTAACGTGTGGATGTGGTCTACGGTTCTAAATCCTTTTCGGAACCCTGTTCGTTCGCATGGCTTACCTTCGTCCAGTAACCTGCCAATCCTGTTCAGGATGACTCGAGTGAAGAGTTTATAGACAAGACAGCAGGCAGTTTGGGCGACAGTTGCCTATGTCGTGATGGTCTCCCTTCTTGAACATCAATACGGTGCTGCTGGAGCGAGAAGAGCCGAGTCAGGGTGTTGTTTAGAATTGGCGGCAGGTTCTTCAGATGTTCTGGTCTAATCCTGTCTATAACGGGTGTTGTTCTGTTCTTCACTGGCGACATATCATGTCGGACTTCGGGAGGGAGGACCGGTGGAACGACATATTTATCCTCTTTCAAATTATTTGACGGTAAGAGGAAATGAATAGTGAAGAGATCCGAGTACTGGTGAATGATTTTCTCCATTGCCTTTTTGGAAGCTGTAAGTGCACCGTCGAGGCATTGGAGTGCAATCATCTTGCTCTAACATTTGGCGATGCTTCGTTGGGCTTTGCAAATGCTCTTCCCAACTTTTGCAGCTTCTGCCATAACTAATGCTCGTCTCTCTTTGGGGTCTTTTCTAATCGCTTCTCTGCATCGCCCGGCAAGATTGGACTTAAGGTTTCGGTTGCCTGTAGCTCGTTCGATTCTAAGTTGACGTATCAGTTCGGGTGTCTGCGGAGACAAGCGTCTCTTCGTGACTTCAGCTCTCGGCATTCACAGCGCTAACCAGAAGACATTCAACGAACGTCGATATTGTCGACACCGGTATCTTCCCAAGAGCCGACTATGACTGAATACATCCCAGTCTATGGTAGTTCTGGGGCTTCGTTGTTTGAATTTAGCGGCTTTCTCTTGTTTTCGTGAAAAACGGAACGTTGCGCGAAGGAAGCGATGGTCTAATCCTGTGTAGAACTTGGGAACAACAGCGACATCGCTAAGGCAAAACCTACGATTTATAGGATTTGGTCTATCTCGTTATGGTACTCTCCATTGAGAGACTCCCACGTCCATCGCTGTGAGTGGGGCTTTTGGAACCGTGAGTACCATGAATGGTTTGGCTCGTCATGATAAACTCGGACAGCCTCTCACCCCGTTCATTCCATTCTAGCCCGTGGGTTCCAATGTGACGTTCTTTAGACGTTCTTGTAGGTCCTAATTTTGCGTTGAAATCTCCTACAGTGGTTTGAAAAATGTATGATATTCTCTGAAGAATTTTTTCGAGATCCATATAAAACGCCTCGGCATCGTCTTCATCATAGCTTGATGTTGGTGTGTAAGCAGCGAAGATGGTCAAAGCCGGCATTGAACCACATCGTTTCAACCGTAATCGTCCGTAACGGGTTGCTAGTTGTTCGAACGAATCAATGTTCACGGTCAAATTCGATTTGACGAGGACGCCAACGCCTCCGACACCTTTGCGATCGCATGTACCAAGGAAAAGTTTCTCTCCGGTGTCACAAACAGCGTGAAAAGGATGGCCCCTTCTCGTCTCAGCCAGGCCAAACACCTTGAACTGTTGAGCTCAACACTCTTATAGTAGTAGAAATGCAGCGACTGAACAATCTCTCGCTCATTCCTGACAGTATATCCTCAAACAGCGCTCTCACTACTGTAATTCCCTCCTTTTTCTTTACGAAGAATGTGCATAGATGGATATAGTTAACTGAACTACGACATCTTTTGCAATTAAATGCTAAATTACGACAATAACCATCGGCGAGATAGCCTATAATTTGTAGAATGCGTAATTCAAGGTAAATCCATATCATAGTGCGAATAATGGTATTCCAGACTTTTCATGTTTCTACTGTTTCATCGCAATATTATGGTGTTTCAGATATACCTAACAGAGTTGAAAGTTGAGCAAAAATCCGACCTCAGCTGGGAGTTGAACCCGCTTTCATTCATAGCGAGGCCTGGGGAAGGGGTGGAGACGCAAACTGCCACTACACCACCGAATTAATATTTCGCTACCACTTACTTCCCAATGTATCTATCATAGCTATCAACGACCGAAGCTATCAGCTACCGATCTTAGAACAGGTTGGTCGCGTGAACAATTTTGATTTTAAACCCAGTTAAGCTGACAGCCACTGCGATACGTAATACTCAAGATTTCTTATGTTTACTGTTTCTTCGCACTTCAACTCCGTCTGTCAGATGTTGCTCACAACTCAATTCTGTTAGGTATGTTTGAAATATTTGGAGTTCAACTCTCTTTTGCGGTTGAATTTGCGCATCACCACGCAACTCCCTCAGGTATACCCAATGATGAGTGATGTGCAAATATATTTGCGCCAGTTGGGATTCAAACCCACACTTCACCCTATCTGGGAGCGCGTGCTGAACCAATGCACCACCGACGCACATTTCGATATCACTCTCTTTACGCTGCAACTCGCTATCTGTCAAGAGCCAACCATCCACTGTCTTTAAAGAGAGCATTCTTACTGATTAGTGATACTCAATACCTGTCAGTATAAGTGGGTTCAGTGTCGATAGCGACTACCCCCCGCCGAACCGTGAGCGTAAGAGTGATGTCAAAATTGGCGTCGGTAGTGCAACGGTTCAGCACGCGCCTCAGGATAAGTGAAATGTGGTTCGAATCCCTTTTGACGCAAATGTTTTTACTCATCACTCTTTGTCATTGGGTATAATATAAGATCCTACTACCGCTAAAGAAGGTCAAATAAAGAGCATTCTATTAGGTATATTTGAAGCATTACAACTTTGCGGAAAAACAGTAAAAACCGAAGTTATCTTGATTATCACCCATCACAGTAGCTGTCAATTTAACTGAGTTTATGAAGCGAAATTGCTTACCCGACTAAACCTGTTGTAGGCCGCTGGCTGTGAGCTGTGATAGAAACATTGAAATATGAGTGGTAGCGAAATGGTGCCTCTATGGTGTTGTGGTAGCAGGCGCCCCAATATGGGTAAAAGCGGGTTCAACTCCTGGCTGAGGCCATATTTTTGCTCATCACTCAATTCTATTACGACTAATTGAAGCGTATGATAATAATTTCAACTAATGCAAATCTTTATCTATGGCACAGCGTGATGTGAAATGAGTGGGGGAGAAGAAGGTAGCGGCTCTGGTCGATCAGTTGCGACGCTCGGCGCAGGAGCGAACCCAATCCCCGAAGCAATCCGACAAACATCTTACGGAGTGCGCCAGCCTGGCTACTACCAGGATTTGAAGATATACCAACTAGTATTCTATGACGTTCATGAAGATGAAGAGCAAATTAAACGCTGCAAGTATGAGGTTGAGGGAAAGATTTCTCAATATATACCGAAAATTCAAGTTTTATATATAAGTTCGATTAAAATCAATAATAATTATGCATAGCTGGCTATTTTTGAATTATGCATGAGGTTTGTTATGGGCGTTTATAGTGCAATACATGTGTTTTCGGCTTTTCAGTCACGTGAGTTTGCGGTACCTTTTTTCTGAGCCAATCCCTTTCGGGGCGGGGGAGCACTCTTACATACAGGAATCGCAGACGTACTCATCACATAAGCATTCAAGTGAAAGATATCAATAAAAGGGCAATGTTGTACATTCGATTGCTCTTGACGGTATTTGTGAAATATCATACGTCTCGATCTAAGTGTTTTCTTAAGACCACGATCAAAATTCTATGTGCCTAAGAGGTTCGATGGCGCGTGTAAGGTGCGCGTCTGCAACTCCCATTCGAAAGAGGGTTTTCCCCCAAAAGAGCTTGGCTCGGACGAAAGGCACCGTGCAACTGACGATGTTACAAGGCTGAAAGACGTGCATCGCAATGTAAAAGTGTTCAGAATAGACAGCATGCATGGCTCAAAAATGACCTATCAGGCACATCGCATTCTGAGCGTTGTCTTAAGAAAACAAGCGAAACGAAGAAACAATAGTTATTCTTCAGAATAAAGGTTCCTTATCTAAAATCTTCTGCCAGCGATCTGCAGGCTTCCCGACCTACTCATTGCTTGGGCTTGAATCAAAAAACTCTTGACATGCCTCTAGAACTTCATGTCAAATGTCTCGAGTCGGAGCCCAAACAGCAAGTGTTCCATTGAGCAGGAACACGGGCCATAATCGGACAGCGCAGCATCTGGATTGAAGGCTGGGTGCGGAACACTTGTTTTTCCTAGTCTTCTTTTCGGTGTGAGGTCTGACATTATCTTGCTGGAGCAGTGCGTCCTTTTGACAAAACGACGTCAGGTACTTTTTCTTAAGCATCGTAGACTGGCCTAGCTGCTCGCATATTCCAGACCGTTTTGATTGGAGCTAAGTTGTTTTGCCAGTTCACGAGTGCTTGACGGCGATTCCGCATTCAAAGCTGCTTGCAAGTCTCTATCGTCATCGCTCAATGGCCGGCCGGAGTGGGATTGGTCTTTGAGACTGAGTTCACCACTTTCAAATCGTTTATACACAGTGCTCTCACTGTGTCTTTCTCTCATCCGTGGTTAACACGTTGGGAACCATATGGGTCATATTGACTCGTGAATCGCGTCGTCGCGCGTTAGAGTTCTATGTGGCTCATGAATAAAAGCGGATTTTGGGGGGATAATATTTGGTAAATTAGGTTTCCAAGAGAACTACCACTATACAATAATGAACTATCGCTATAGAAAATCCTTTGAAGATTTTTATGTGTTCTGTGATTCAAAGAACGCCATTTGTTGAGAATTAAACTATTTTTCAACAAGACAAACCATACCTTTCCGGAAACGAGCACATTTCCAACACTTATTCAACAACTGTTTCTTTTTTTATGTTTTTATTGTCGTTTGATAGTTTGAAAAATGCCTATTTATATAATATGCTTTGTTTGTGGTTCAACTTTCACATCAAGTTTTTCTAACCCATAAAATAGAAGCTTTTGCAATCGTAGCCTATTTTTTGGACTTCACAGCGGAAATTTTGATGCTAATTAATGAAATTCTAGATTATATTAGGTAGAAAATCAATGGAGGGACACAGAAAAATGTGTTTTTAAAGGGAAGATTGCACAGATCTTTTGAAAAAGTCCACTATCCTTTATGAACTATCTTGAATGCAATCGCATTGTGTGAGATGTGTTCGTAATTTCCTTCCTTTTTCATCCAGCAGAGCTTTTTCACTAGACTATCAGTAATCAATCAACAGCTTGAAAACTTGAAAGTTAAATACCGAACAGAATTCATGAGGAGACCTCCATAGTGAGCTTTACTAACAAAAGAATTGACTTTGTGCTCAAAAGCGCGTGTGACGCAGTTGTTGGGGGTGTTTTGCATCGCACACGAAGCCAATGGTTCGATCTCGTGCTCATGCCTCACCAAGCTTTCAATCTCTTCGGATCGGTAAATTTGTGCGAAACTTGTCTGGGAGCATAATTAGCACTAAGACAATCTCTCAGTAGGCCTCCGCAGTCATTGTACAGACCAGGTGTGCATTCAATCACCTAAAACGGGGATATAATTTGAAGACGATGGCATGGCGCATCCTTCAAAGATTCTTCGGCGCCAAGAGCCTTATCCTTCTAACTGTTTTTTCTAAGAGTGCGTTGCTACAACATCACCGCGAACTTTTTTTTTGAACTTATGAAATGGATTTTGTATTCTGAGCATAGTTCATCAACACGAAAAGACCGAATATTACTGGAGAGAGTTCCACAAGTGAATTTCCATTAGAAGAAATGCTCATATCGCAAAACTTTCTTTGAAAATGCATGCCAGGAAACGCAAAGCCTTTTAGCTGTTTTTTTTCTTCTCTTTTTTTCCCGAAGACTTTGCAGACGTAGACCTAAAAAGCCCATTTTCTGCATTTTCGTCACCAAAATTTTTATTTCTTCCATGTCACGAATATTTTGTTGGAAACATTATTGAACGGCCAAAAACTTGGGAAATACACTGACTGAAAACATGTTAAAAACCTGCACTCAGAACACTTGTAACCTTTTCACAGCACTAATCTACAGTGTTTTCCATCCGACTATCTTCTATTCGCAAACATATTTTCCTGCCCTTCAATCAGTTCGTAATGACTGGTCAGTGACAGTTCATAAAAGTTGGCTAGCTCCTTGCATGTGAGCATTAGGTCGCTTTGAACACCTGCTTGTCGTCATCAAATAGCAGGGTTTTGGGTGTGAGAGCTTTAAATGATCCTCTATCTGCGACTAATGCATTGTCTTCCATGCTACCATCAGCTTCATCACCGATCTCCCCCTTCGGCACTGCGAGCATGATATGCAGAATATAAATTACTCACATGGGTAAGCAGGAATGATTATCATCGGAAGCAGATAGTACATCAGGACACTCATGTAATTATGGGCAGCTGCAGCAGGCTACAGATGATTCTGTTTAAGTTATTTGGAGAGGTTGGAACCGACAGAGTAGAATAGATCGTCTTGAACTAATCAAATAAAAAGGAATGCATAGAACACCTGTATCAGCGCCCTTGTCCAGTGACAAATACTGTCCTGATAAATGACGTAGCGCAATACAAGATGATAAAAATACTTATAGCTCCGAAAGGATAAAAGGATAAAGGGTAAAGCTTTCGGCGTTGATCAATCTCTAAAGGATAGGCCATGCATTCGTCTTCAATTTTGATTTCGGGTGAGGTGAATGAATGCATATCTGGCCTTTACAAAGACTCGCGGTGGCCTTTCGCTAAACCGATTCAGTGCTGTTATCCACCCAGACAAGTCTGCCACCAGTTCGGTACCAATCTACCGACCCCGAAGGGATGGATAGCTTGACGATCCATGATCGCGAGATGGAACCACGGACCTCCAAGGCACCTACATCCACTGCGCCACATGCACAGAACAAAGTAATTCCTATATTATATAAAGTTGTCAACTCGTGAATACACTGTAATGAAAAATTGGGGAGAGTTAAGTGGCATCTCATGCAGTGTGCAACATTATTTAGGGCAAATTATCCATTGCTCTGTAACTTACCACCACAATAATAATTTTGAGGTATATGTCATGAGATTATACCAAAATTGGAAGATTTATCTCGCAATATATCAAAGTACATAGTGCTAATATAATTTGTAATTTGACGATATTATACTGATTATTGATTACGGACACCTACTCGTAGCAATGGATAGAGGTGATTGCTCTTGATATAGGAAATGACTGATGAACGTGAGTGAAATGTGGGTAAATGTAAATAACAAAACATGAAATCGTTCCGTAAAAGTCTGAAATAAATTATTCTCGTGCGCATTTGGGTTTCTCTTCCAAAAATATGCTCTTTAAAAAGAAAGCATTGGCAGGATTTCCAGGCTGCGGCGATGAAACGACATTCACACAGAGTTCAAGTGGGTTTATAGAACGTTTTCACGCATAAGACAATAGAGCAAATCTCTTTTATAACTCTA